ATAATGGGTCCTTTCCCAGGCTCAAACCAGGGAAATATGTTTTTACTCGTAGTTGCGGACCATTTCACTAAGTACGCTCTATAAAAACCTTTAAGACAGGCTACCGCAAAGGCAATTTGTAATTTTATGGAAAACGAAGTGTTTTTAGTTTATAGAGTACCGTCACAAATTGTTTGTGATAATGGTGTACAATTTACCAGCTCTTTGTTTAGGAACCTGATAAAGGAATATAAAGTTCAAAAAATTTTGTTCAATGCTCGATATTATCCAGCTCCTAACACCGTTGAACGGATTAACCGCGTTATAGGAACCGCGATTCGCAGTTTTATTAAAGATAAAGACGCTCACAAGTTTTGGGACAAGGAGATACCAAAGATAGGGCATGCTCTTCGAGTCGCTGTTCACGAAGTTACATAGCCCAGCATTTTTGAATTTTGGTCGCAACGTACCGATTTCTGGTGATTATTATGGACAACACCAGAGTTCTATCGATTTGGACACGAATCCTTCAGATTCTTTAAACTATAGTAAGGAACTTGAGAAGTTACCTTTACTATATCGGACAATACAGTCAAAGCTTAATGAAGCCTATAAGCGGAACGTCAAGCAATATAATCTGCGTAAACGCGATGTTGTTTTCTCCGTTGGTGAAAAGGTATGGAAACGGAATTATGTGCTTTCGGATAAAAGTTAAGATTTTTCCGCTAAATTGGCACCCCGATATATACTATGTACCGTAATCAGAAAAGTCTCTAGACTTGTGTACGAACTCAAGTCCTCAAATGGGACAAATGCTGGAAATTACCATGTGAAGGACTTAAAGAAATATTATGGTTCTAACTCTAGTATAATCTCTGAATTATAGTAAGGTACCTAGCCATGTCGATTTCGTAATCCCTACTTTGACTTGTAAATATTAGTTTTAGTACATTTAGTTTAACTTCACGGCCGAGAAACCTTTAGTTAAGTTAGATAGGACATTAGGTTAGGTTGGACACTTAGGACATTAGCTCGTAAGTTGGGTTAGACTTTAAGGACATTAGCTAGACTAGTTAGACTAGTTAGATTAGTTAGACTTTAAGGACATTAGCTAATTAGCTAATTAGCTAGTTAAAAGCACAAAATTTAGAACTTTGACTGGGTAACTAGAGGGTTTTAGTTCCTTTTTGCCTTTAAAACAGGATTTAATTTGGTAGGAGTTTTTATTTTTTGATCAGGCCGACACTGAGTTGTCGCTAAGGCACGCACGGCAAAGCCATATCGCCTGTAGCACCTACCGCCCAGTCCATTCCTAGTGGTACCAGTTAGCGCAACTGGCCACTGGGGCACTCCCTTTCCCTACTCGGAATTCGTTCCGAGTACCTTCTTTACCTCACGGTATGTCAGAGCGACATACCGTAGAACTTTTCGATTCGAAGCGGTACGCTCGAAGTGTGGCATTGTTGGAGGGCTGGCCTGTTTCAGACACAGGACTACCGGTTGCCTCCGTCTTTTTGTTTCTGGGACTAGTTCTCAGCGTAACTGGGTTTTGTCAGGATCCTTCCTCTTCAAGGAGAATTTTCTTTCCACTTAATTTAACCTTCTGACGTTTTAGTTGCTTAAAGATTCGAGGCGTCGCATGACTAAGGGTCTGCTTCGTTCCTCTACACAATTGTCAACATTTAACATTTTTAGTTTAGTTTGTTTCTTTTACTTAAAAATTAAATTTAATTAGGTATGAAATTTTATTTTTCCGAGGAGGGGTGTGTTGTAGCATGCACATTTTATGCTACTATTTTTAGTCAAAGTAAACCGTTGTTTTCATATTTTTATATTAAATTCATAAGGTATTTTGTTTAAACATTTTTACCTTGGAACGACACTTGATAGATTGTTCTTAGATTATCTGCAATTAATACAAGTTAATAGTTAAGATTATGCATTGCCAAGCTGTACTTACTAGGTTTGATATTCAATTCAATTTGCAATAATTAAATACTAATAATTTACAGTTGGTCGATGGCATGATTGATTACTGTTGACAGTTTTACTATTTTGCGTCAAGTGATTTGAGTTTGTTGATGTGATGTTTACATTCTGCAGGTGTGAACTCTTTGTTGGCAGACGTTGTTCGTTTCTCGAGTCCTTTATATTTCTTTAATTTTTTTCTTACATTTTCAAGTTTTAACCTCACTAAAAAATTCAACTAATATTACTTACTTTTCTATTTCGGATTAAAAGATTTGTTTGTTATAGTCGTTAGTCTTTGGTTTCCTTAGTACAGACCTTTTTCTTTTGACGTTAATCGTTAAATATAATTTGTTTCGTTTGTTTTTAAATGTCAATATCGAATTGGCTTTGAAAGACCTTGGCTATTCAAGCATAGATGGCGCTTTCCCCTCGGAAAAGTTTATTTCGCTATATCGACGTTTATTTTTCTTTTGTCATGATAATTATATTTTGTTTAGGTTTCTTTTTGTTTTAAGTTGATGTTTAGCGGTTATAGTGGTTAGTAGACCATTATCGATCGTTAAAGATTTCCTTTTTTTAAGTTGGTATTTGTTTTAGCGTATGCGCGATCCTTTAAAATTTCATATCCTGATTACGTATTTCCGTCCTCTTCCTTCTTCTTGCGAATGTCAATGGAGGCGGTGTGTCGCTCTGAAGCAGTTTTAAAGTTAAAGTTTCTGTGTTGAAAATCCACTGCAAATGCCAATCATTTTGTGTAAAAGGATCTAGAAAAGTAAGTCGATGAGTTCAACGTTGGCGCGAACTCTAGAAGCCTTTAGTTTTACGATTTCTGCGAAAGCGCATCGGCATGGCGACCATTAACCTTTAAAACTGGTGAGTTTTCCAACTTTATCTAAGTCATCGGTCTTTAATGTTGATCGTTTATTGTTCCATGCAGTCCTGGAACGACACACCTATGCCTGAATAAGAATATTACCGAATTTTGACGATTATACCCAGATTTGACACTTCTATCCCTCTCCTGCGCGATGACAGGAATGACGTTTTGTCTAAGCCAGATTGTGTAAATCCGTAAGTACATGGAGGTTTTGTTTGAAACAATACCCAGGATTTTACTCTTTTAGGGCTTCTACCTTAAGATTGTATCTTAAGATTTTACCTGCAGATTTGACTTTACTTGACTTGACTTTTTAATACCTTGGCCTGACGCCACATCCCCAATTTTGACCATCAACATTTCACCACCGTTTGCCAACAACAACATTTTACTGCACAGATGTCACCGCTGCATGAACTGAACAAGGAATAGAACCTTAAGTACAATTTTGTTAATTATTTTGTGTCGGACATAAGAGCCGTTTAACCGGTTTGCGTTTTTTTTAACAAATATTATCATAACAGTTCTTTGTGAACCACAGATAGCTATCTTCGGTATATTAACCCTTGTATTTGCAAATTTGGACAAACGCATAAAACCCATTTTACAATTAATAAAATTAAATCTCAACGTTATTAAACACAGTTAAAGTTCAATCACCTTTTTTTTAATATAACATAACCTTTTTCAGTGCAGTCAGACGTTAGATTTAGTGATCAATCTAACCTTTTAAAATACTTTTAAATGATCACTTGGCGCCCACAAGATAAGTTTCTGTTGACTTTTTAAAACCATATGGACCCACTATACCCAGCTCTTCGCAAGGTTTATAACATGAGTAGCCGTTCGCACAAAATAGGTACCAACAAAAACCTAAACGCCACAACGCACATGCCTTATTCGGGACAAAAAACACAACACTTTTAACTTTTCCTGCCTTCCATTTGGAGGTTATACGGGGACTTCTTCAAAGGTAAGTTTTTCTTTTTTATGAACAAATATAACAAAAAATGCGTTTACATAGATTCCCTTGTGATTCAACTGTCCCAAGGAAATTAGGCCGTCCACCTTCTAATCCACTTCGTATGGTCGGACGGCATTTTCCGTCATCGGAGATGCAAAGTCTGTTCAACAACCAAATTACGTGACAGAGTAAGAAAGGAGACATCAATTATGTGCAAAACTTGCGATGTGCCACTTTGCGCTACTCCATGCTTTGAGCAGTTCCATACCCTTTCGATCTTTTAAAAAAATTTACTTTTATTATTACCTATATATGAGTTTATTAATCTTTTGTTAGAAATTTTATTTTATTTTATTATCATTTATGAGTTTTTTAGTTGTTTACAGTTTTTTTCAATAAAAGTTAAGTTACAATAATTTATTTATTTATTTTTCTTTCTTAAAAATACTAAAATTGTCTTGATAAAATTACTGTCGCATATACGCGACACTAGGCCCTCAGAAGCGCGAGCCGGCTAAAAAATAACTCCGGCGGTACAGACATGCCGCTCGAATTAAATTTCGTCCTCAAAGGGTTAAACGTCAGTTTAATGTAAAAATAAACCGATTCACCCTTTATATAACTAAACATTTTAAGAAGAACATAGAAGAACATGCATTTATTTAAAATATAGACTGCGTCCAGGGAAAAAAGGCCTTCATTTCTGAAATTTCCAGTGATAAAGATGTTAACAAAATTCTAATTCAAAAAGGTAAACATTTATTTATATTTTTTATAGGTTTATTATTATAGAAAAATTCTTTTTAACTTCCGAAAAATTTGAAAAAGATTTATTGATAGTTTTAGAAAGTGATACCATCCAATAGACTCTTCAGATTTATACATTAATTTTTTTGGGAAAAATATTAAGGGTAAAAATCTTTTGGCAATCCTGAGCGTGTCCACAGAGCGTGTCCTCTGTATGCGTGTCTTTGAATAAAAAACCTCATATATTCAAATGTTAATACTATTAACTGATTAAAAATTAATTCAAAATCTGAATTTCAGATTTGTCTGTTTCGTCTGAGGAAGTAGATTGATTAGGGGAAAACTGTATACCTATATTATGGAAATCAAAAACATCAATTCAAAAACAATAAATTTAAAAATCTTTCCTGGATGGTGGTGTTAAAAAAATGGAAATGTAAAAATTTATAAAAATTTAATTAGATTTTAAAATAGATATAGATGAAGACGCACTTTTTGAGGAGTTTGTTGCCCTTCAAGATTTTGTTAAAAATGGGTCTCTAAATGAAAATGAAGATGTAGACCAAAGATGGGTGAGATTTTTGAATAAAGATTTTTCAACAAACAATATTTTCTCCATTCATCATTCCAATGCCGTTCCAGAAAGAATATTTAGCCTGATGACAAGGACAGGAGAAAGGAAAGAAATAAACTAGATATAAAAACTTTGGAGGCAGAACTGATGGTTAAAACAAATTTTAAAATGAACTGTAAAGATTTTTTAATATCTATGAAAAGCGGGGAAGCAGATGATATTTTAAAAAAGACTTCTCAAAAATATAATTAATTAAATATATGTTTATCTTTGAGGCATTTATTAAATAAAATCACATTAATTTATAAAAATAAATATTTTTATTTCAGACCACAGAATTAATGCAAATTTATATATTTATGCTAGCAAATTGTATAAAGCTTTTTAATTTAAAAAATCTGGCAACCCTGATTTAAACCGATAAATAGAGTGAGTTAAATATCCGCCCTTTTCGAAATTAATTTGGTAATGGCAAAAATAATAATCTTTTTTAGAAAAAATTATTTGCAAAGATAAACAATTTTTGGACAACATCTTGAAACAATAAATTTAAGTAACACTTTTTTCATTTAGTTAGTATCACCTAACTTATTTGTTTAGTCTTAACACAATTTTGGAAAACAGAAAAAATAATACTTTTTATTTTTTGTAAAGCTTAAAATTTTCCACGATTTTTTTTGCATTTTCCTATTTATTAGCAAGTTATGAATGTTTTCTTCCAATTAAAAGTTATAATTTAGTTAACGACATCGATAAATGTTTTTTATACCAAAATTGTTTTTAGACTGTAAAAAAATAATTTAGATGATAGTACCCAAGTGAAAAAGGCGACTTGAGAAATACCTGTAAGATAAATATTTGGAGACCTTTAACTCGAGCTCGCTAAACGAGAAGCGGGCGTAAATGCTGACGGTGTTTATAACACATCGTATACGTGAGAAGAAATGGGCAGTCAGGAAGCAGCGTTCTTACTGAATAGTTTTGTTATTAATAAAGTGTCGTTTAATATATGTATTAAACTTTATTTTAAAGTTTTTCTTACAAATCAGAAGTGGGATATTTACTCAAAAGTGCCTAAAAACGTTTAAGTGGTTTGGAAATAATGGCTGATTTAACAGATACTGAAGAAATGCGCTATACCCCGGAAAATCTACCGTCAACCTCAACAGCCAAATCGTCAAAAAGAAAAAGAAGTAAAAGTTCATCATCGTCAACATCATCGAGTAGTTCGAGTTCTACATCTAGTACAAGTAGTTCTTCTTCGTGTGGAAAGAAAGAAAAACAAGTGATTAAGTGCTATAATTGCCAGGGTCCTCATCGCATATCCGAGTGCAGTAAAAGTGTTTGTTACCATTGTGGCCGTTCAGGGCATTTTAAAAATAGGTGTCCAAACTTAAACGTTAAATATCAGAACTCATGACTAGAACATACATCTAATAATAAAAATATAAACAATCCTCCGATAGCAGAAGTGCAAATAAACGGTGAAATTATAAAATGTTTAATAGACACAGGCAGTTCTAAAACATTAATTAAAGAAAGTGTAAGTGATAAACTAGGATTAGTAAAAGAAACAAAGACTACATTGTTACAAGGTTTTTCTGGAAATCAAGTGCTAAGCAATAAAATCGTTAAAGTAAACGTGCGTATCGGTGATGTCAACGCGGATATTTATGCTATAGTAGTTAGTGAGATGCTTTATGACTGTATAATCGGTTGTGACTTTTTAAACTTACCGACAGTAAGATTAGTGAAAACTGGTGAAAAAATAAACATTTATTTAGCTGAATCTCCAAAACCAAATACATGTTGCGATGTGGGCGCGTGGGACGATGTAGATTTTGGTAAAATACCTGACAAAGCTAAAATCGAATGTTTAAAGTTGTTACACGAATTTAAAGACCGGATAACAACGTCCACTAAAAATTTAGGAAAAACAAATTCTGTAAAATTTAGTATTAAATGTACGACTGAAGAACCTATTTATCACCAACCATATCGTATGTCAGTGTCAGAAAAAGTTATTTTACAGAAAATTATTGAAGAACTTCTTACAAACAATATCATAAGAGAGTCAAACTTCCCGTATGCCAGCCCTGTGTTATTGGTTAAAAAGAAAACCGGTGATTACAGGATGGTAATAGATTATAGACGCCTAAACGCCGTTACAGTTAAAGACAGATACCCTCTTCCCCTTATAGAGGAACAGTTAGATCGCTTGGGAGGTCAAAAATATTTTACAAGCTTAGATTTAGCTAATGGTTTTTATCAAGTCGGCATGGAAGAAAAGTCAATTTCTAAAACAGCGTTCGTCACTCCAGATAACCACTATGAGTTCTTAAGAATGCCATTTGGAGTATCAAACGCCCCCGCATGTTTTCAACGCCTAATGAATACCGTCTTAGGTCCTCTTAAAAACTCAATAGCGCTTCCATACATGGACGATGTCATAATACCATCCAAGACAATAGAAGAAGGATTAGAACGATTAAAATTAGTTTTAGAACGATTTCGTCAACACAACTTAACTTTGAAGTTAAAAAAATGTGCATTTTTCCGTTCGGAAATAGAATATCTTGGACGCGAAGTGAGTGCTTTAGGTATTCGGCCAAGAAAATTTAAATTAGAAGCAGTTATGCATATGAAACCACCGATATCGGTTAAGCAAGTGCGTCAGTTTTTGGGCTTGTCTGGTTATTTTAGACGATAGGTAGAAAATTATGCTAAAGTAGTGGAACCTTTGACAAAATTAACCCGAAGTAATGTGCCTTGGTGCTGGACTAGAGAACAAGAGTTAGCCTTTAAAATGATTATAGCAAAATTAACTTCAAGACCCATATTAGCAATTTTTAATCCCTTACTGCCTACTAAATTGCATACAGACGCTAGTGCTATCGCAATAGGAGCAGTTTTGTTACAAACACACGGTGATAAACAGCGAGTTGTGGCATATTATAGTAAACAAAACTCTGTTGACCAAAGACATTATCATTCATATGAATTAGAGACGATGGCAGTTGTTTTAGCATTAAAGCATTTTCGTGTTTATTTATTAGGGTTACAGTTTACAGTTGTATCAGATTGTAACGCACTCCGAACAACTTTCTCAAAAAAGGATCTTATTCCTCGAGTAGGGAGGTGGTGGCTTCAGGTGCAAGATTACACTTTTGAAATAAAGTATAGAGCAGGAGCCAAAATGAGCCATGTGGATACACTAAGTCGATACCCTGTAGAAATTAATCAAATAGACATTACTGAAGGTGACTGGATTTTGGCAGCTCAACTTCAAGATGATCAAATAAGGAGAATTAAATTAATATTAGAAGGAGTAAATAATGCAGAAACAAAACAATATTTTAAGGATTATTTGTTAAAGAACAAAAAGGTGTATAGAAAATTAGATAACGGAAGTAAACTTTGGTTAGTACCAAAAAATGCACGATGGCAAATTGTGACTGTCATGATGATGCAGGACATCAAGGAATTGAGCAGACTATAAATAGAATTAAAATGTATTATTGGTTTCCAAAAATGCGCCGTTTTGTAATTAAATACGTACAAGCATGTTTAAGCTGCCAATATTATAAACATACTACTTTTAAGAAGCAAGGAAAATTACATCCCATTGAAAAAGTCGCTATCCCGTTTCATACAATACACATAGACCATGTGGGTCCGTTTGAAACTAGCCGTGTTGGAAATAAATATATATTTGTAGTTGTGGATGCTTTTACAAAGTTTACCCTAATCGAACCAGTGAAAAATACTAAATCCAAAGTTGCTATGAGACTGTTACAAAATATAATGTATATTTTTGGAGTACCTACTAGAATAATAAGTGATCGAGGTACTGCATTTACTTCACGTGCGTTTAGAGTATTCTGTGATTCGTAAGCAATTAAACATGTGTTGAATGCTGTAGCTACGCCAAGAGCTAACGGACAATGTGAGCGTTATAATAGAACTATTTTAAACATGCTGGCTACGACTAGTACGAAAGACGAGAGTGATAAGTGGGACATTTGTGTTAAAAACATACAAAGTGCACTAAATACTTCTTTTAATAAAAGTATTAATACCACCCCGGTAAAATCATTGTTTGGCTTTCAATGTAAAACCACTGCGGAAGCATCTTTGTTAAATTCACTTCAAGTGCAAATAGACAGAATCGATCTTATAGAGATGCGAAACCAAATAAAAGAACACATAAGTGAAAATCAACAAAAACAAAAGGAGCGGTATGATAAGAACAGAAAAGAAGCTAAACGTTATAGTATCGGTGATTTAGTATCAATTAGAATTACTAGTGAAGCAAATACGGGTACAAGTAAAAAGTTAAATCCAAAGTTTAAAGGACCTTTCAGGATAAAATGTGTGTTACCTAACGATAGGTATGTTGTAGAAGACTTGCGCGAAGGGTTTCGTAGCACTTCTACCGTTGTAGCGGTAGATAATTTAAAAAGTTGGATAACTATGCAAGTGTAAAACTTTTAACAGGTTTCGTTTATACATTTAATTATTAAAAAACTGTTTACTAAAAAGACTTTTTCGTTATGTGAATTTATGTAAAAGAACTAAATGTGTCCAAAATTACTGCTTGTATATGAAATCTGTTCTATGAATTGAAAACATTTATAAACATTTATTTAACGAGCCAATGTGTAAAATATTGTGGTAGGCCATGTAAGAACGGATAAATTCCAGTTGTCAGCAATATTTGTATATTTTATATGTTTATATGTTTAAGGTAGTAATGTTATGTTTATGTTTACTTTGTTGATGTTTTACGATAAAAATTACCCATTAAGATGTTCCTCTAAGTGTATTAATTTTAAGATAGCGATAATGTAGTAATAAGGGCCCTTAAAATAAGTGTTGGCTGAAATAGGCCGTTGCTAAAATAGGCGTTGGTTGAAATAGACCGTTGGCTGAAATAGGCCGTTGCTGAAATAGGCGTTGGTTGAAATAGACCGTTGGCTGAAATAGGCCGTTGCTGAAATAGGCGTTGGTTGAAATAGACCGTTGGCTGAAATAGGCCGTTGCTAAAATAGGCGTTGGCTGAAATAGGCCGTGGCTGAAATAGGCCGTTGGTTGAAATAGACCAGTGTCAGTGGGTTGAAACAGGCCCAGTTTGTTTTAGGTTGAAGTAGCCTTGTGAGAATTTTCAATGAGGTGCTTTCGAGGACGAAGCACAAAAGCAGGAAGGCTGAATGTAAGATAAATATTTGGAGACCTTTAACTCGAGCTCGCTAAACGAGAAGCGGGCGTAAATGCTGACGGTGTTTATAACACATCGTATACGTGAGAAGAAATGGGCAGTCAGGAAGCAGCGTTCTTACTGAATAGTTTTGTTATTAATAAAGTGTCGTTTAATATATGTATTAAACTTTATTTTGAAGTTTTTCTTACATAACGTACACCCTAATTACTTACTTTGATGATTCTCGCTTAGATTTTCATCTATTTTTTTACGCTTTTATTTTTATCATGTTATTTTATTTATTTTTTAATTTAAAAATAAATATAATGGACGCTCAAACCGTAATGTCACGGCAGACAATTTGTTTTTATCAATAGAAGTCATGGATGAACTGAAAAAAAGAGGACACACCTATGTTGACAGGCTTAAACAGAACAAAAAGTTTCTTTCAAGTCGGAAAAGAGCAGAAGCATCTTCCATTTATGGATTTACTAATGGCTCTACTATTATTTTCTACGTTCAAAGAAAGGACGTAGAATCTAGCAAGCCCGATATTATTTCTTTTTATAATTAAACAAAGGGCGGTGTAGATGCGTTGGATCAAAAATGTACCGCATACTCTACAAACCGACGAACTAAGCGGTGGCCGATGAAAATTTATTTTACAATATTTAATATTACAGCTATCAATGCACACATATTACATGGATGCTACAAAAACAACAAAGACATTGACAGAAAAGGCTTTTATAAAATTCTTGCAAGACAACTTGCCGAACCATATCTCAACATAAGACTTTGCAATTCTCGATTACTTAGAGAACTTCGTTTGGGTATTGGCAGAAAACTATAAACGCCTACCGGTAAAAGAGGGAAAAATTAAATATTTAGAACCAGAAACAAAAGAGAAAAGTAGATATACTAGGCGGGTCCTGGGACACTGTTTCCGTTTATTGCCGGCATGGGGCGCCACCAGTCGCTGTACTTTCTCAAATAAAAAAAAATATTTGCTAAAGCATCAACAAAATAACATAAATTGTAGGGAACAATTTTTTTGTTCCCATTTTTTTTTTTAACAAAAACCTTTCACCAAGTTAGGATCCTAAAAAGTTAATGTCAATGCAAAAGAAATTATTTATATGGTCAATGCTAAAATAAATGTACTTATTTAGTTAATTTTTTCCCAAAATGTTTACAGATTGTGCTTTAGTAGTAGCCAAATTATTGCTTCATAATAAAGACTTTTAATTAACACAAATATGATCAAACCATTTGTTATAATTTTTTCCTTCAGTTTTTTAACCAAAGAACCAATAAAAAGGCTGACAAAGAAAATTTTAAAGAACACACTTTAGGCTCAAAGAAAGAGGTATGTAATTATATATTTTAGTGGAAGTGGAGGTAAAGTTTTAATCAAAATTATTACGAAGTAGTCACTAGACTTTATTGTGTCTGTCGTTTAGCTTATTATTTCTGTTCACTTATGAAATCAAGTAATTTAAATTCCTTCAGTATACAAGTGAATTTTTCAGCCATTGAAGTCTCAAAGGCTGGAAATAATAACCATAAAGCTGGACAACACAAAATCCAAATTGAAAAAGACAAGCAAAGAGTTGAATGAAACAAGAAAAAAGTTGAGAGAAGCCAATACGGAGATTAAATTATAGTGACTGAAAATAGCACAGTGATTCTTGAGTTAAAAAAAGATGATTATTTTTTTAATGCTAAGATAGTAGTTATTTGTGTTGCTAGTATTAGCATGCTAATAAATAAACTAATAAAGTCAGGACAGGTAAAAATGTATGGTTTTTAACAAATTGTATAATCTAATGTTTAAATTTTTGTATGTTAATTGAAAAATTAAACTGATTTAACTCTTTGAAATATATAAATTTCTTTCTTTTTACAGAAAATAAAAAATAATCTAAAATTCCTATATGAGGAAACCCAAAAAACTGGGACTATGTTTGAGACACAAGTTCATTTGGGAAATGATGTATGGATCTCAAATGTGGCTTTTGATGAAATGATGAGAGAAAAAGAGGCCAGCGCAGTATTTAAAAAAACGTGGTGGAATATCGAAAATCTGTATTACCGGGTGGTAAAATTAAAATAAAATCTGGCGAATCAACAGAAGATCAAAAAGAGAAAGCTAAAAAGTATAATGAGCTAAAACACACAATAAAAAACGTAAATTCGAAAAAGTTGAAACTGTAGGGAGGTTCAAACGTCAAAAAATTGTAATACATAGTTCGTGTGAATCAGATGCTAAAAAAAAATTTCTGCTAAAGTGTTACAGAAGTTTCTAGGAGGAATGTTTTTTTTAGAATAGCGGTGTTCTCGGTTTTATGTTTTTACATGAACATCAGTTGACAGCGCTAGATTAGAGCTCAAGCTAAGACTACTGGCAGCACGGCAAACTGAACTGTGAATAAACAACATTGCAAATATGTTAATGTTAAGATATTTTGTAATGTTTTTGTTAAAATATTTAAGAATGCCAAAAATGTTGGCAACACTGATTCTTATAACTAGAATGTTGACAGTTGAAAAATGTACGTTGTTCGTTAATTACTGTTTTTTATAAATATTAAACACAAGTTTGCACTAAAAGGGCATTTTATTTCATACTCTGTTCACAACAGGTTATGGCCCAGGTCGCGCTTGCCCGAAAAGTGTGAGTGATGTGCAAAAAAAAACTTGGAAACACTTGGAATAAAAACGTGTGTAATAAGTTTGGGTGTCTTATGAGAAACTAACGTGAGAAAAACTGAAAAGGTCTGTCCTTGGGTGTCTTCCCTGCAACGCGAAACCTGCTGAAAACTCGTGCATTGACTGAAAACGTGTGTCGTTTCTTGTGAGTTTCAGTTAAAACAACAGAATAAAGTGGATGTTTTCAGCGTCAATAAGTTTGATGAAACCAACTTTAGGCAATGGAAATTTCAAATGGTGCCTTGAAGGCGAAAGGTATTTATAGGGTAATAGATGGGACTCTTCCCAGCCCAAACAACACCCAAACTGAAGAACTTGCAAGAAAGATGCTCAAGCGATGTTTGTGTTTACCTCAGCTATGAATGTTCATCAAATAACATTGATAGAAAGTTGTGAAAATGCAAAAGCATGGTTGTCATTAAATCCCACCAAGCAAACAATTGATAATTATCAATTGTTTGCTTGGTGGGATTATAATTTAAAGGCTCGACTTTTGTATGAAGAAAGTAACCTCCTGAATTACGAGAAAACTGAACAAGCTTAAAGCCCCAGAAAACAAGAAAATCACAAAAATGACAAAAACTAGACAGCGCGCTGCAGCGTTCAATGTTGAAGTTAAAGCAAACAGTGTTATTTTTGAAAACGAAACATGGATCATGGACAGTGATCCCACTACCCATATGACATATAGACTGGACTTCTTTCAAACATTGGATGATAATTTTAAATCGAGAGTGACCCTTGGAAATAACGAATACCTGCCAGTTAAAGAAAAAGGTACAATAAAAACTTAAAAGCTGATTAATGGTAAGTGGTATGATTCAACAATTAATAATTTGTTATACATACCACAGCTTCGTAAAATTTTATTTTCTGAGGGTGTACTCAGATAAAAACATAAAAGTTGTTAAATTTAAAAATGAGGCAAAAGTTTTTGAAGGTTCAAACCTTGTAGTAACAGCAGTGAAAGACTTAGCAATACATATAAAATGCTGTTTAGAACCATGATCTGTACTGCAAATTGAACAGTTACTGACAATTTAAAATTATGGTATGAACGCTGTGGTCATGTTAATGTGAAATATCTTAAAGAAATGGTCAACAAGGACATGGTTAAAGGAGTAATATTTAGTGATGTTGAGAACTTTTTCTGCGAATCTTGCTTAATGGGTAAGCAGCACCAATTGCCCTTTAAGAAAAACAAAGAACATGTGAAATTAGAGATTAGTGAGAGAATATACAGTGATGTGTGCGGGCCAATTGCAGCTCCTTTGGTACAAGGAATGAGATACTTTGTAAGCTTTAAGGAAGAAAAGAATGGTTATCGTGTAGCCTATTTTATTAAGCATAAATCGGACGATTATGAGTGCTTTAAGAGTTTTAATGCAAAAATTAAAACAAAATTTGAACATTCGGTAAAAGTTTTGCATACTGACGGTGGCACCGAGTACTTCAGTAATGAGTTTAAAAGTTACTTAAGCAAAGAAGGTATAGAACATGAGCTAACCGCGTCGCATACACCTCAACAAAACGGTCGCGCCGAAAGAGACAATCGGAAAATTGTTGAAAGTGCACGGTCAATCAAGGAAATTAAATTGAGAATCCAGTTTAAAACAGGAAAAGGTTTATTTACACGATATAGTTCAAATTGTTTCTGAAAGAGGTAAAATGAATTTATTCTATAAATCTGTTTATGAAGGGCAACCTTTATCGCTCAATTTTGGTACATATTATACCTCTTCAATTAAAAAAGCAGATTCAGTAACAGTCCGATCCATTGTGGCAAAAGGGAAACTTGTGGATAGATGTAGAAATGTGTTGTATTTGTCCAAGGAAGATGTTATAACCAGAAAAAGAAAGTCATTAGACACGCTACAAACTAATCATGAAACTAAAGATAATTTTGATGAAGGTAATATAATTTAAGATACATATACCCAGCCTAGTTAGTGGGTTATTCATATATTAAAATATATATTTTTATTAAGATATATTAAACAAGAATATTTGGCTAAAAAGCAGAAGTGAACCATGGAATGAAGTTATTGAGAACTGGACTTGTACGTTTAATATGAGAAAACTTTAAATAATATATATATATATATATATATATATATATTATATATGGACATATAAGAATATGGCTGGTTTATGAATGGTTATAATTTACACATCAATATACATTCTCTAGTTTTTGTTCATTTGTTTTAGATTAATATTGACTTTGATTTGATATCCCTCAAGAGGACTCAATCTTGATAAAAATTGGGATTTATTTTTTTCTGGGGTTTGTCAATTAAGAAAAACGGATAAGCAAGAAAATCTAAACTACCTTTTCGATCTTTTGGATAGATGTGAACCAGGTAATTAAAATACATGGTTTATGTACTATTATAATTTAAAAAAATAGTACCTACATTGGAAGAAGCGACAGTTTTTAAATGAGTATAAAGGCGCAGCCAACAATATTTTTAATTTTTGACATTTTAAACGTCAATCCATTTATCAATTAATAAAAAAATAATGTTAATGCTAACAGTTTTTTTACACTAGTTGCTAAATGGATGAGAAATATCATCAGATGACAGCTTTTTTACACTAGTTATAATTGATAATTATAATTGATAAATTGGTAACCTTTTACACCAGAAGAGTGGAAAAAAACTGCCACTTTTGTGCGAATTATAGGAAAATTATATTCCTAAACTTCTATATTTGATACTAGGAAACTGGAAACCTTCTATTTTAGAATGTTGTTCTGGAATTATAGTTCATGCCACCGTAAGTATTAATCACTTTAGAACGGTTCAGTTTTTTTAACTATTAGTTTTTTTAGAAAGCCAGCAAAATTCAGGAGATTATTTCTGAGAACAAGAAGAGGGCTTTATCGAGGAAGGTGAATACTTGTAAACCCTACATCATTGTGCAAGGAGAGTCTCTCAAAGAAATCAAGAATATATATATATATATATATATATTGTTTTAGATGGTAAGATAAGATTTACATTCGAATCCATTTCTAAAGCATTTGACTCTATTTTTAAGATATTTAATATTTTAAAAATTAACTATCCCGCTGAATGCGAGCACATAATATATATATTATATATTTTAATTGAAAAAAAAATCATATCCTTACATTTGCGACCTATTAAACTTTTTTAAGCAAACTTAAATAAAATGAAATGCAATTATTGTGGAAAGTCTTTTTTAGTGATCAATAAATATTTCATAACATATTAAATAACTTTACATGTCCTTTATCTGGTTGCCATAGAACATACCATAGAAAAGATATTTTAAAAAAGCATTTTAAATCCCATAAAATAGTAGATATAGGTGGTAATAATGAAACAAACGATTTATTTGTAAATGTATCAAAATGATGACACTAATGATAACACTAATAACAATCAATCAACTTCTACAAACAAACAAAACATTTTGTTTTAAAAAATCCTTAAAAAATTTTGAGGATGAAATAAAATTTAATGTTGTTCAATTAATAACAAAATTATAATAAAACGAAAGTTTTAGTAGATCTTCCTTTCAAAATATTTTAGATATAATTAGCAATTTCATATCTTCTAGCATTTTAGATATCATTATCGAATCACTGAAACAAATAATATCATAATTATTTCAATGTTAGAATTGTTTAAAGATTCATTTTTAAAACTTAACACAGAATACAAACGTTTGCAATTTTTTGAACAAAATAAATGTTTCATTAAACCTATTGAATGTAATTTGGGGGTTACTCCTGACGGATTAGCAAGAGATAACGAAATTAGTCTTATCTTAAAAAATACTTGCTCTTATTATATTCCAATTAGGGAATGTAATTTCGGTAAACCAAGATCTCGCACTAATTCTGCAGGATTAGTCTTGCACGAAAAATCATGCGCGATCTCGCAAGATTTGCAAGATAAGAACGCAGCGCATTTCATGTGTG